TGGTTGGTTGTCAGACTCCCATGGGGCCATGCAGGGGCAGCTCTCTAGGCTGAGTCCACATTTGGTTGAGCATTGCTTCTTCCCAGGTGCCCTGTGGTGAGATGGGTAAAGGGCTAATACTATCTTGCCTTAATCCCATCATCCTGGAGCGGAAGGGGGGGGGGGAGATCTTTGTTATGTAGAATAATGGGCATTTTAATGGCCCATTGACAAAAGTGGGCGCTATTAAGAGTGAGTCTGTTTCCTACCTAAAAAAATGTTTCTCCATTTCTGATCCAGGGAAATATAATATTCTGCCTTTTCAATATTTCCCCGGATATTTCATTCTTCTAGGAGAGGGGTGGGTTTTAACTTCCTACAACTCATCACACACAAAAATGCAAATACCACCGGCTGTTTTTTATGCCATTTGTGTCCGGATGGATGCATGAAATATGGATGCCCCCACGGGGAATCCCTCACTGATTCATATTTCAAGGGGTTAAGGACCTGATACTTTAAAATCAGATTCCTTCCCAAGAGCTTCTTCCTTGGAGAACATCCAGGAGGCATTCAGATGTACATTCACGTCACTTTATAGTCTAGCCTCCATCTTGGATTTGGGTTTTACAGCGTAGGAAGTCTTATTTCAAACGCCACCGGGCTCGTGGCTTCTCCGCCATCTAACGGCAGCAATTTCTTGCTTTAGTGCAGAATCTCGGTAGCCTCCCGTATCAGGCGACCTGCAGGTGGCGCCACTTGCATCGCCTCTTCGCTGCCTGGATAGAGCGACGCAGAAGCCCAAAGAGGTTGCGGGGTTTGAGTCTTGGGAGGCACAGCAACGGTCCCTTGACGAAGCTCCAGCAAGCAAGCCTTCGCTATTAAATGCCCAAGATTTCCCAGCAAGGGGGGGGGGGGGGCAAAAAAAAAGTGGCTGAGAAATAAGCTGCTTTTTTCGGGGTTGCCTTTCTTTATAATAAGTCTTTTTCAAACATGCAAAAAAATAAAATAAAATAAAAGCAAATCTGGACCAAAAGGAGTCAATCCCACACCTCTTTTTGGGAGGCTGGGCTGGGCGCCTTCATTCATTAAAGCTCTATTCTTTTTTACACTTATACACTTACACACAGAATCCAGAGTTCTCAATTGAAGCCCCAATAATCACCAGGCTCAAACAATCCTACTTCAGGCTTATGTAAAGAGCCAGTTATTGGGGGCAGGGGGGGGGGGAGGCTCTAACGCTGGGAAAAACGTAGAAAGAAAGGAAACAAGATGATGATCAAGCAGCAAGATGGACGGACTCCTGGTGGAGATGAGTGCTCTTAGGGACAGACCGTCCCGGAGGCAACCTTGTCTACTGCATGTGGTCACTAAGAGTCGAAAACGGCTTGATGGCACACAAAGTCAACGCAATCAAAGTGTCAATACCGACTTAGAGTAGAATAGAATAGAATTCTTTATTGGCTAAGTGTGATTGGACACACACGGAATTTGTCTTTGGTGCCTATGCTCTCAGTGTACATAAAAAGGCAAGATACATTCGTCAAGAATCATAAGATGAACACTTAATGATCGTCATAGCATAGACAATAAGCAATCAGGAAACAATATCAATATAAATCGTAAGGATACAAGCAACAAAGTTACAGTCCTGCGGTCATGAGTGGGAGGAGACGGGTGATAGGAACGATGAGAAGACTAATAGTAATAGCAATGCAGCCTTAGTGAATGGTTTGACAGTGGCGAGGGAATCGTTTGTTTAGCACAGCGTTTCTCAACCTTGGCAACTTGAAGATGTCCGGACTTCAACTCCCAGAATTCCCCAGCCAGCAT